CCTATCGGGCTAATTCTAGGCCAGTTTCCTCTATCTTGCTCTGAGAGAAGAAAATGCAACAGAGATGAGAGTCTGGTTTTGTTTTGTCATTTCAGTGTCTCATCTGATGAAATAAAGTTCCATCTGACTGCCCACTGGATGAGCACAAGAAGTTTCCCTGGTAATAAGAAGACTTACCCTCCTGACCCCTAGCTGAAAAATATCAAAAACAGTATTGCATTTTCCTATGAGCAAGCACTGCCAACTCTCGGGCTTTTCATTTTATTATTTTTCTCAGTTGTATCAGCCAATGAAGGCTGGCAATGTATAATGCACATGGCCCAGATGTCAGACAAATTGTGACTCTGCAAGTTTACTCCTCAGCCTGCAAGTGGTATGCCAGCCTGTCCAACAGAAATATGATAGGAGCCATTAAATGACTTTTTTGAAAGTTACATTTTAAAGTAAGGCAAAAGTATAAAGGAATACGGGAAGTTTTCAGTCAATAACATGTGCTCTTATCATAATATATCCAAAATAGTATCTTTTCAAATATAATCAAGACAAGAATTATTGAGCTATTTTACCTTGTTCCTTATTTTGTCTTTGAAATCCAGTGTATATTTCATAATAATAGCATGCCTTAATCTGCATCAGATAGTTTTCAAGTACAGAATAACCACATGCCATTGGCGACTACCGTATTGGACAGTGGAGAGTTATACTGTCATTGTTGGGTTCTTTGGTGTGCTAAAAACTAATAAAAATTTGGTATTTTCTATGGAAATATTATATTATACAGATTACTTATTATGCTGTAATTTTAAAGATACACAATTTAATAAATAAATAAAACAAAGAAACAAAATATATTAAACATTTTAGAACTTTACATCACAAAACATGTCTCTCATAGGCGGAAAAAAAAGAAAAAGTTTATCAGACTGCAGGTGTGACAAGTACTTTATCAAGATATCAGCACAGATAATTTCTTACCTACATTCAGACATGAAAAAACTATTTGAAAAATAATCTTTGTAAATAAAAAGATATAGGCTTTTGACTATATGTACAGAAATTTGTCAACAGTTGAGGATACCGGTTGACCAGAAATCTCAGAAGCCAGCTGTGCATTTAAAATGGAACAAGGTGAGAGTAACCACTAGACAGGTGCTGGGAACTAAGGAAGCACAAGGCAGAACATACTAGGCTGAGCCGAGTGCTGAAACCATGTTGGGGCCACGGCTTCTAGAAGTGATATCTCACTGGCCTCTTGGAGGACTTCTAGGAGCAGCTTCCGTGCAGAGGGATGAGACACATGTATGAGGCACAGGGATGGAATTTTGTGTCCCTCCAGCAGCAGAAAAAAAGCACCTGTGATTTGGGAAAGTGTAGCGGTGCTTTAATCTAGTCCAGGGGAGTGGAGCAAGTATCCCTGAACAATATTGAATATTTGGTTAGGTGTGGAGTTAATTAATATTAGTGTGTCAAACTCTAAGGGAGTTTTATTTCCAGAGGGCTGGAAGAAAAGGGAGGTATGTCAGGCAGTTTTCAGATGGGAAAGCAGAAATCACTCCTAGTGGGTAAACCAGATGGAACCCAGGGGAAGTGGTTACCCAAGAGTTAGAATAGTTGAGGACACCCCAGACAGGCACTGAATCACCAGAGAGGTCAGAAGCAGCGGGAAGCCTGACCCGGTCACAGCATAGGGACACAGGTGAGCCCGCTCCAGACAGGGATTTCCTCACCAGCTAGGATCGCACAAGAAGGAGACCTTGGGTGAGGGATGGAGCCAGGGGAAAGCAGCTGCTGGCGGGAGAAAAACGGAAGCAGAAGGAAAAGGCAAGCGATGTTGCTACTTCCTCCACTGGAAAACAAAAACTCCTCATGGAGCAGTGCCGGAAATGCAGCTGCAGCAATCCTGTCTCTATAGCTTGGAGCAGGACAGGGCTAGAACAGGGGTGCAACTGAGGACAGACAGGCTCATCCCACCTGCACCCGCTCCTGCCACCCACTGCAAGCTCTGCCCTCCTGCCCGGAGCTGGGACTACACACTCACACACACACACACCATACTCCGGCCTACAGCCAGGCCCTGGGTTAATGCTCTAGAGCTCCTCTCTCCTCACCTTCTGGTGGTGTTTCCAGCATCACTCCTTTTGTGCTGCTCCACCACGGTTTGTACACTAAGTCCACAGCACCCCAGCACTCAATGCTTCACGGATCTTTGCAACAGAATTCCTGAAGGAAGTCCCCTGGATCTGCCCAGCCATCTCCTTGGCAGAAACACAGTCAGGTCTTTGTCCCCATCACCCCAAAGGACTCTTCTAGCGGTGCATGCTGGTCTTCCATGGCCACATGCACTGTGCCTTCCTGGTCCTCATCTTCCTGACCTGTCCCCAGCGCTGGCAGAACAGTCCCCGCTCCTTCCTCCTCGATACGCTCTGTGCCCACCTTCTGTGCCCGCACAGCCTCTCCACTGCCCCCTTCTCCACAGGCCCTTCTGCCTCATTTGGCAAAAGAAAAAGGTTTTTTCATCATGCCTTTGGCCTGTTCACTTTGGAGTATAACAAGGTTCACTTCTACATCCTTCTTCTCTTCTCTACATTCACTCCTTTCCTAACCTCTTCCAGGTTCATATCATTGACTCCTAAAGGCAGACTTTCGGTCTGTATTTTTCTCCTAAAATCCCAATTCAGCAGTGTCCTTGGATGTGTTATCGACACCACAAGCTTAACATGTCTGTACTGAACATGTTTCTGAGTCACAAACAGCCACACTACAAAAATTGTGTTCTTGACCTACCTGAATACAAATGCCAATTAGCGGTCTGAGAACACAGTCAACCCTTGAAGACTGTTAGGATGAAATCTGCTCCCTCTGGGCACCTTTGAGAAAACCAAGATGGAAAACTATTAAGTTATTAATCTGAATTTATTTTTCCCCAGCTCACTCTGTCTTCAGTTCTCCATTTCAGCTGACAGCAAGGTTATCCTGCTAGTCATTCAGATTAGAACATTTGAAGTCACCCTTAACTTTTTCTTTCTCTTACATTCTACATCTATCCATCACAAATTGTGTTGATTCTATTTTCAAAGTACACCCAAGGTCATGTGATCGCTCATAACCTGCAGGGCTACCACACCAGTCTGCACAAACCCCTTTTCTTACTGGGGCTGTAGCAATAGCATTCTAGTATGTCTTCCCATTTCAACCTTTGTTTCTCTCCATTAGCAGCATGCACTTTACCCCACAGTGGTCAGAGGGATGCTTTTAGACCCAAATAGGTTCATATCGCTACTCAACTCAAAATCCTGCAGTCTATCTGATCATACCCGGAGTAAGAACCAAAGTCCTCACACTGGCCTTAAAGACCCTATATGACTTGACTCTGTTATCTTCCTGACATATTTTCACTTTTCAGCCCTTGAGCTTTTGCTCCATTCACACTACTTCACAAATATTTATTATTTGTGAAACAATGAACCCCATCCTCTAAGGAGTTCATTATCCCCTGGAGGAAACAGATGTATATGCATGATTACAATCGGAAAGTAGTGATGAAATCTCACCTTTGCCTCCCGTCCTAAACTCCTGCATGTGAAACACCCCAGAGCATTAAAAGTTGAGGAATTTCCTGTGGATTGGGTGGTGTTGAGGGGAGACACGGAGGAAGCCCAGACACGTCTAGCTTAAAGAACATCACGTGCCGAGATCACTGGAGGAGTGAATTAATAACGTAATTAGGAGATCGCATGCCAAGTAGAAAGCGCTTCTTAAAGAATCAAATAAAAGGGTTAAGATTAAAAGAGCTGGATGTTGGAAGTAAAGAAAGATAAAGTTCCCGATTTATAGAGGAGTCAGATAATGAAATGTTTTCTGTGTGTTTGTTCCTTCCCTCACAGCTTGCAACCTTCTCCTGGAACAATCTATTAACTGTACCGTTTTAATGTACCTCTTCAACAAGGTCAAAGCAATACTTAGAAGGATTCTCATTTTCCCAAGTTAACGATTAGAAAAACACCTAGAGTCACATTTAATTTGACAAGGTAAAGGAGTGGGCGTGCTAGTGTATCAAATTTAATTTGTACAACATGATCGTCTCTGATAACATTATTCTTTCTGATCCACTGCGTTTAGACTACTCTCACAAGACTTGATCTCCCTGTCTGTCTAAACACTGATTCACTTGCAGCAAGTTTCACGTTAACATCAGTCATCTTAATACCCAGTAAATCCACAAGGTGTTAGTTGCACAAAATTTTGTATAAAAGGTGAAGTGTGACTTGTCTCGGTCTATAGCTTTCCTTCCCCATACAAGACAGCCGGGCACAGGTGAGTCTTGGTACTGCTAGTTATCAAGTGAAGAAAGCTATTTTTGAAATTACAGAATTTTAAGGGCATGATGAACCAATTAGAATTCACTGCTGTTGCTGCATTGGGAATTTATATTCATTAGCTTAGCTTCTTATGGTTGATATACTCTAATAACGGTTAGCAAACAGCTGACATTATGAACCAATTGTCCTGGCTTCTGAAATAATCTTATTTTTCACAAATTGTGGATGAAGAAAAAAACTTCAGTGGGTGGTAAAAATGAAGAAATAATTTCTGTTTTATGCAATTTTCTTTTTCTTTTTAAGCCAAACTAGTCATTAAAAATATTGCTGGATGACCACATAAAATGATTATGGTTATTTCCTTCAGAATGGTCATCTTAAAAGAGTCAATAATAACATATCTTCATTTTAATACAACATCTTTCAATGTCGCTCTGCTTAAATGACTGTATTGCTATTTCTATTTACCATAAGTTTCTACTTTGACCAAAAAAATGAAAAAGGAGGAGGAAGAGGAGTATGTGCAAGAAACAAAACATAAAGAAAGATTTTTGCTGAAGCACAGCCCGATTGGGGGAGATGTACAAAAATGACTTTTGCTTAGGTCAGTTTACATCATAATTATAATTCTTTGGCGTCTTCATTTCTGACGGTCCTTACCGGTTTGTGTCTCAGACCAGGATGAAGTCCATCCAGTTCTGTTTCCTTTTCTATTGCTGGAAAGCCATCTGCTGCAGTGGTTGTGAGCTGACCAACATCACCATTGCGGTGGAGAGAGAAGAGTGTGGATTCTGCATCAGCGTCAACACCACCTGGTGTGCGGGCTACTGCTATACCAGGGTAAGCCCTGTGCTTCTCAGGAAGGGAGGGTGCTGAGGCTATGTGCGAGGCAACATCATCAACATCCATTTTACCAACACTGTTTTCCCTGAATTACAGCTATGAGCTCCTTAGTTGATAGCATCTGTGCTGTGATTGGGGTAAATGACTCTGATGTCAGTTTGGGGCTTGGATTCAATTTTACGTAAACTTCGGAAAGCCTTAGAACTGAGCTGATAAATGTGTTCATGTGCCAACTGTCCATTTACAAAACTAAATAACTAAATAAAATATTTCTGTGCTAAATTTTACATGTAGAAAGATAAACATGGAAATATATATATATATCACTCATAAAGAGCATGTAGTATTCCTTAAAAGGTAGTTTCTATAATTAAGGTCATATCTCTACAAAAGATACACTACCACAACATGCCTCCAAGTCACAAACAGCCACATTACAAAAGTTGTGTTCTTGACCTGCTTGAACACAAATGCCCATTAGCAGTCTGAGAACACAGTCAGCCCTTGCAGCCTGGCAGGATGAAATCCACTCCCTCTGAGCACCTTTGAGAAAACCAAGACTCAGCAACACTAAGTTACTAGTCTAAATTTGCAAGGCATATTTACACTGATCCAAGTAAAGAGGGATTTTCCACTTGTCTTCTTCTTCACTTTCCAGATAGCACCTACTTCTCTGTTCTGAATTTCATGCAATCCACTGATATTGAAAATAGTGACTTTTCAATGACGTATACTTTACTTATAGTATACTTAATCAAAAATGAGTTTGATTAAGTAAATTCGCCTTATTGGACAATTTATTGCAGCTTCTTTGGATACAGACTTGGAAGCACGATATTGAAAGAAACACCAGCCCAAATTTTTCACCTCAGTGAAAATATATTTCCCACTGGAAAGTGCTAGAAGGGACGTTTTTGCCTGGATTAAAAAGATTTCACATGAAAACTATGCGTCCTTAGAATCTAAGAGCTCTAAGAGGTGTACAACGCATAAGCGAGAATTTCTACTGAGTAGAGGAACATTGAACATCTTATAGGATCCTTCATAAACATGTTAAGCATTAGCATTCACGTATAACTTTTCTGTTATAAATGTAGCAAGATAATAATTTATCCTGAATTTTTTTCTGAGAAACTATAGTATTTATGGCTCTAGTTGTTATTTACATAGTTCATAATAAAGTACAAAATGTTAACTGAAAATTCTAAATCATATTTCCATTTTCATCTTTTTTATGTGCTAACCTTTATATTTTGAGGAATAATCAATATTTTTGTATAAGCACAGGGATTAGGAAAGAAATGACTTACATATTTCTGTATGATTTCCCAAGGAATCAGCAATATATCCTAGCCTGTAGGTCATCTATGAAGCTTTGTGGGTGTTAATGGGTAAATAAGTGTAAGAACCTCAGAATTCAACCCCTGCCTCACTCTGACTGTGCTAAGCAGAACCTTCAGGATCCTGTAACCTGATTCTCCCTTCCTAATTTCCTCAGGACCTGGTGTACAGAGACCCCGCCAGGCCCAACCACCAGAAAACATGCACATTCAAGGAGCTCGTGTATGAGAGCGTGAGAGTGCCTGGCTGTGCCCACCACGCAGACTCCCTGTACACATACCCTGTGGCCACTGAGTGTCACTGTGGCAAGTGTGACAGCGACAGCACCGACTGCACTGTGAAAGGCCTGGGCCCAAGCTACTGCTCCTTCAGCGAGATGAAGGAGTAAGGGACAAGGGACTCATCACAGTCCAGCAGGACCCGGATGTCCAGAAGTCTGCGTGTGAGCACCAGGCCCAGGAGCTGACCTCGCACGAGGAGACATCAGACTGCAGTGATCCCTGCTGTGGGAAGTGGGCTGCAAGAACTGAGGGTGCTGGGTGGGGCCCATCACTCCTCAGGCCTGCGTCCCTCGCTCTTGGTCCATAAGTTTTATTCCATCTTAACTTACAGATCTGTAAGTTCTTTCCTTTTCAGCAATCTTAGGCGTCCTCTCAAGCAATCCTTACCTTTTAGACAGAGGGCTACCTGAGTCCGGTAGAGAGGAGATAATGACAGGGCTCAGGGAAAGAACTAAAGTTAGCACAGTCTTCTGCTAGACTTTGGGTCCAGAGGAGCAAGGCCCGCATCTTCTTCAATGCCTGTCCCTATGCCTAGAACTGGGCAAGAAATCCAACTATGGCTTCCTTGAGGAACCCAAGATCAGAAAGGTACAGGGTAGGGGAAGGCTGAAAGAGGCTGTGTGAGGCTGGCTGAGGACCCGCCCAGCAATCCCAGCTGCAGATGTGTTGGCCGCTGTTCTCCCTCCAGTCCTTTCTGGCACGTGCAGTCTTCAGACAGAAGGGTCTCTCAGAATTGCCAGATGCAGACGGAGATACTAGAGTTCAGGATGCCCAAGCTATTGCTACCAAGCACTATAGCTAAGGGTTAATGTAAGAAGTGTTCCTTTGGGGCTGTGGAAATTAGTTCACATCATTCGCTGCTTTTAAAATGGAGCAGTTGCTACCAGGGTCCACTCATTTGCAGAAGGGGAAGGCGTTGGAAGTAGGTTTGAAAGGAATTTGAGCAACTTCATATAGTCAACCCTTCTGCACACACATTGTATAAAGAAGTGGCTCTTTTAGAAAGACTTATCCATGGTAGAAGGGACTGCTGTTTTCTAGGGTCCTCTCCGTCTGTCTGGTCTTCTGTCTATCCATGTTCTCCCAAATCTATGATTTCTTTCAACAGTGTATATATTGAAACGATCTCATAAATTGATTTCTCCTAAAGGTGTTAACTCTTAGCATACTTGCTCCATGCTTATAATGTTTAATTTACTTAAATCATATTTTTTTAATAAAGACGCTAGCACAACAGTCATATGTTTGGATTATTCAATACACAAATGGATAACTTACTGTGTGTACATTTATAAAATTAGTTGAAAAATATATTTTAAATATAATTTCTAGTGCTTCTGGAGAGATGACCTGTATTCATCTCTGGAAACATCAAAAATAATTTTATTTTCAATTTCTAAAAGTATTTGCCATTTTAATTTCCTATCATTTTTGAAGTCATTTTTTGGGATGTCATGAGGTTAAAAAAAAAAACATGCAGAGAATCACACAGTGAGTGGGGACACTGGAGTCCATTTCTCGACTCTTGAGGCAAAAAAAAAATTAAGCAGTGATGTGAAGTAGTCCATCCACATTGGGTGACTGAAATACAGAATTTAGTCTGCTTGCCAAGCTAGATACCTACTCATTCCTGGCTGTGCCAGTAACTACATTTCCCGTGTTTCCTCAACATCAAGGTTATCCACACTCTGCCCAACAGAACTGAGCAGAAGTGTTGTGAGAGGGCTTCACACCTGCCCATAAAGTCCTCCCACCGGTGCCCATCCACTCCTTCCCCTATTCAGCAAGATGTCTACACCCAGGGAACCAGGACAGCTCTGTGTTCTCATGACAAAGTTATTTTCAGCCCTGAATGTCTGCGTGGAGCAGTGGGCCCCTATGTCTGTGACCACACATGGCAGTCCTGGGTAGACTTGATAGTCCAACAAAGTAATTTCTAGAAGGTAGGTCATTTGTAGGTTTATTGGGGGAAAACGAAGTCATTTTAACTAAAACATACACTGGCACTGGAAGTGAGCACAGTGACAGCTAACATGAGTGACACTGACTCAGCGCTTATGCCACCGAAGAGGAGAAACTGATGGTGAGAATAGAGTCTCACCTGTGAGAGGGGGCACCCAGAACATGCCGCCCGAGTCTGTAGCTCTGAGGCATGGGTGGCAAAGTGTGCGCCGCAGGCTCATCTGGTCCATCACTTCTACATAAACCAGTGAGAACACAGGGGAGCCCTTCTGTGCCCATATTCCCATGGCTCCTTCCGCACACCAACAAAATTTAGCAGCGTGATAAAGACTGTATGGGTCACAGTGTAAATAAAACATTTGAAATCTGAAAATTTGCAGAAAGTATGATTGCCAGCCCCTGTGCTAAGGAAAAGGTTTGCAGAGATTGGATGTTAACGGCGTTGGCTCTTACTTTCTGGATATTAAAAGGGGGATTGTGTGCAGCAGACACAAAAGGGAAAGGTCCGGGCATTTGGCACCTTGCTGTGAAGTAAAAGTGGTCCCAAGTGGTAAGGGATAGAGCGGGTTTAGAGAGCAGCAGTACACCAAAACTTAGTCCCGAGGCAAAGACAGACTCAGGGTGGCACCTTCCCACCCAGACTCGTTAGAGCATGCGCCGACAAAACCATTAGGAGTCATAAAGAAGTCAAAGATAAATCACACGTGACAAACACACTCAGGAAAAACTTCTGGACATGTCCATGGGCACCAAGAACAGAAGGGAAGTATTCGAGGGAGCTGACTGCCTAAAGCTCTAACGGACCAGACCTTGATGTTTGAACACACGTTGGCCCACCGAGCCTGATGACAGGAAGTAGACGATTAAATGTGTAAAACCCCAAGGAGAGTGAGTCTCAGTTCCACATCCAGTGTGATCACAGAAGATAACTGACAAGGAAAGAGCATTGCTCCACAGAGGAGAATCAGCATCTAATTAAGAAATTCTCTTCACTGGTGTGGCCGAGGATTCCATACAGGTCATGCAGTAGGATTTCAGTAGTTTTATCCAGTGGGCTGTTTCCCGTGCTTCCTTTTTTGAATGGAAGTGTTATTGTGAGCAGTGGTATTGTAAAAACCTGTGCCTCCTTCATTAGTGAGCATGAGGTGGAAATGGACAAGATGGACAACTCGTCTTCGGTTCATACATGTCAGACCATGGGGAGCCACATCCAGGCCCCATGGAGAAAACTGCACCAGCTGCAGATCAAGGGTCTGGGATTAGACTCAGGGAGGGAAAGAGCTGGTTCCACACGAGAGAGGAAGACGAAATTGATGTTTGTTGGACACTTGGGTTGGGACAGAAATTACTTTGTGTTCACCAAAACTCATCAATTTTTCCTGAGGACATAGCTAATTTACATTTGCCAGCCTCACTTGTGGAAAAGTTTGCTTATGACAGTTGAAGATTGTCAGAAGCCGTGTGTGCCACTTCTAGATTTGATTCACACTGCTACAAGGGAATTGTGCCTTTTCCCTGCTCAGCTGGCTGAAGATCAGTGTTTAGAGCAACCTTGAATGCCACACACAGAAGATGGCAGAGCCTGCATCAGCCTAGATCCTGAATGACCAGAGGGCACACACACACACACCTGCACCTCTTCCCTCTGAGCCAGGAATAAACCCATCTTTTGCGAAGTGCCTGCCTCCATGGAAGTTTCTCCATTACAGGTAGTAATGCTGCCTTTACTAACGCAGCAATATCCAGTGTTCAAGGAACCTAAATATCTTCCTTCAGGCTAACTCACATGGACCAAACGCACAATTAACTGCCCAGCATGGGGCATTTCTGTGACGTCAGAGCCTGTGCTCCATCTCCTGAGCTCCACCATTTCTCACAGGCACATCATGAGGGCATTTGAATCGAGGAGGTGGGGAGATAGACCACACAGCAGTGTTTGACTGGGACTTGAAATTTAACCCTCAGTGTCCTCACTACGTTTTACCAGAGCCGGGAACTCACGTCACAGTAAAATAAAATGCTGCTTCTCCAAATGGCATTGCTTCAAAGTCCCCACCCATCTGTGCAGACGGGTGCTAGGTAATACTGCTTACTGCAAAGGCCAGGAACCAGGTCCAGGAAGAGAAGACAAAGTACAGAGGCTCTGGGAAATAATTGGAGTTACTAAGCAATAAGTCTTCAAAGCCCCCCTTATGTAAAGTAGATTTATTTCCATCTTAATATAATTTTTTCAAAACCTAGAGCAAAAAATCTTTTTCTCATCTCCAAAGAGATGCTGAAAAGATCAGCGAATAACATCTATAATAACCAAACAACCTGAGTCACTTTGAAGCAATGTGCATAATAATCACAGACATAGTCTGTGTATAGAATATGGTCTGGTTACCTATATTATAACACAGATATTTAAATAACAAGCCCAGTCCATTTTCCATCCCAACAAACGCACATTACTATATGCCACCACCATTGGAAGGCTGGAAATAACAGACATCTGAAATAATCATACATGTTGCATTGAGGAAGTCAGTTGTCCCTAAAATAAGCAGAGAATCAGACTCCCATCCTGCAGCAATAGCACAAGGAGGGTGGGGTTGTACGGTTTCACTGTGTGCAAATCAGTGCCACTGGATGAAATTTATGACACGCCTCCAATTATAAACCTTTGGTGGCCAAGGACATCAAGATTCCCTACTACAACCTGGAAGGGTCAAAAAAGTCAGTCTTGCTTAAGGGCCCCAGCTCTCATGCTTGGCATTGCCCGCTGACAGCAGCTCTGATCTCCTCCAGGGGGACACAGCTAAATACTACGACCTTCATTCAGCACTAGAGAGACAGGAGTTGGGTGCTATCCGGCAGAAGGACCGCAGCCCCAAAATGGAGTCTGCTGAGTCACCGCCCCCAGGGGCCTCACAGGTCATCTGCCAGCTGCGCTCGGGCTGTCTGGGACTCCCCAGAGCACGGGCGGGAAGACACGGGCTCGAGGGAGCATGCGCTGCCCGGGCACTGTGTGAACACTGCAGGGACCCGGCCCCGAGGTGGAGGTGGCCCCTACAGGGAGGAGCTCACTCCACTGCACAGCAGCTCCAGCTCCCTCTGACCCGCCGAAATGTCCCCAGACAAAAAGCCCCCGTGAGTGTCCTAC